GGTTCTAGTGGGACGTCGTGACCAGTAGGGTACAACAGTTCGGGCGTGAGGACAGATACTCGCTGAAGATACTGGCTAGCAGTCGCGGTATGTCGTGAGAATTAGAAGAAGTTGGAATTCATGGGCTAGCCATTGGATCGATCGGATTCCAGTGGCTTAATGGTCTACGAGCTAGCCCGCCTTGTAGCCAGAAGGTCCTCGGTTCGAGCCCCGGTGGGTGCCTACTGTTGGATAGTCCCAAACTAGGATGAAACAGCTGTCTAGTATACTCCCTGTTGGTTTTCAAAGGGTTCCCTAATCAATGTCAGCTCATGATGAAATCCTGTAACCAATCAATGGAAAGTCGCTTTTCGGCGAATTTATTCATTTAGTTGCACTATCACAATTTTATATAAGCATTTTTTGTTGTATGTACATTTGTGCGTATACAAAGCAAAAAATAAAAAATACGCGAAAATACCCATTGAGTCATGAAGAAATGACTTTAGAAGTTCTATGCGTCGGTGGCATAGCGGTTAGGACGCTCGCCGACCATGCACATGGTCCGGGTTCGATCCCCGGCCGGCGCACTCCTTTACCTCGCTAAGCCACTAGTGAGACTGGTGAAGAGGAAAGGTTTGGCATGAGGCTAGCAACCCCATCCTGTAAAAATAATCACCACTGCTACAGAAACTTCAAGCATCTAGCTTGGAGCCCTATGTTCCACTGGGAACGTGAAGGAAAATAAAAAAACAAATTACGTAGTACTCAACGGCAAAAAGGAAGAAAGCGTTAGATATTAGATAAGGTTAAACTTGTTATTGAGTGAGAATAAAGGTGGTATTTGAGTGTCGATTTAACAGGTGTAAAGAAGGTAAGAAGATTGACAAAAGGAACATTTGAGAGTGATAACAGTGAATTAATTATTAAAGTAAAAGCAAACTAAAAGTAAAATTAAAATTTCTTTTTTGAAGGGAATCACTAGTGAAGAAGTTAAGACCTAAGTAGAATAAGAGATTGGAAAAACTTTTTCTGTATAAAGAATTCGGGGCTGTATTGGCGAATTGCCAACGCCTCCACCATACACAAATGCCGAAATCTGACGCGCATTGTACCATTTGTCCTCACCTCGTAGATAATCTTCAAAGACGAATCTGATGGATCTACGTGGTTTGAGTTCACCAAGTGTTCGGGAGTACAGCTAGTAACTGTCTTACATTGTCCTTTTGCTAACAACCCCGGATAACGTTCAGAGGTGCATTTGTAAACTGTGCCCTTTGTGGACCAATATTACTAGCTCCACAGAAGCAGGTGAATTTATAAACGCACAATGAAGTGGCCCAAAGCGGCAGTTTATCCTTCACACATCTATTGATCATTCGTCGGCTATTAAAACTGATCCATAGCTCAGCCGCAGAGAAGGCTTTTCTCAATGATTAAAAAGCTAATAAATTTAGACTGAGGTTCCACAATATGCAGAAAATGGTTAAGAAAAAATCGGATGTTAAGGTGAAAGACCATTGAGGCAGAGGTAATATTATGTTGTTAATAAATGTTGTACAGGAAATGCTCAAAATAAGATTGATAACAAAATCATGAAAAAAGTTGAGCTTGGAATTATACTTGAAGTAGAATGGGTGGAGGATGAAGAAGTTTCCTCTGTGTAAATACATCAGGGTCTTCTATCTGAATCAATAAAGCCTCATAAATGCAAAGTATATGGGAGAATATCGTCTTCGCGAGGCTTGTTTTTCACTTTATAGATAACCTTGAATGAATTCTTCCTGTATACTGAGTGGCCATTGTTGAATATGTTCAATAAAGAGTACTATAATTAAACATATTCAACAGTGACCACTCAGTGTGTAAAGAAAATTCGTGAAAGAAGCCTCCTGAAAATGGTGTACTTCACTATACTGTTTTGAATGCCCAATTACTAATTCATCACAACTTATCTCTATGGTTTGGAACAATTAGATTGTCTAATGACAGTTTATTTAATCAAATATGCTGCGTGCAAATGAAACAGGTTCAGGCACTGCTGCTACCCTGATCGGATGTGGAACCAATAAGTTCGTTAGTTCTGCATTGTTTTTCTTAACACATTAATGACTTTAATAACAATGATTCTTTAATTACTATGCTCATATAACTGCAGAAGCTGATGACGAATTTATCGAGGAGAGTACTCTTTGTTTACTAATCAATCTTTTAAAAAAACAAATCAATTTTAATGCAAACATTAGTCAAAATAGTCATTTAAACGAACACAAAATTTTACTGTTTAAAAGTAAGAAAAAACTGAATGTTGGACAGAAAAATTAGTGAGTTGAAACAAAAAAATCCGTCGATCTACATAAAACACAGTAGTAATTCAGGATCCCTGGAAATAATAATTGGCTAGGAAGTTTAGATATGATAGAGAACTCATTGCAGCACTCTCACCTTAAGGAAAATTGAAGAAAAATATCTCGTGGACGTCTTATAAAAGAATGGATATCCACAGAATTTCATCAAAAGACATATACCCCCAAGCCAACCTATCAAACCAAAAGCCATCAAGGAAAGCACAAAGAAAATCGCCTTACCATGTATAAAGGAAATCTCAGAAATCGCTACAAGACTCTTCAAACCTTCAGGAATTGACGTCGTACACAAACCAACAAATTCGCTTCACTCAATTCTATGTCAAACAAAAGACACAACAACGAAAGAAGATGAAACCAATATCATCTACAAAATAAATTGTAACAACTACGAAAAACACTAAGTTGGCCAAAGTGGACATCCCCTTCGTCTCCGTATCCATGAACATAAGCTGGCCGTCAAAAGACATGATATCCTCTCCCTCATATCGCTACGTACAGACCACCACGGGCATCAGTTCGACTGGGACAATGTTCAAATATTAGACAGAGGAAACAACAAGAATGCTAGAGAATATTTAAAAAGCTGCCTGGCATTCCAGTGAATCATCAATCAATAGACACATCGAGATAGACAAAATTTATCAACCGACAAGAAAGAAACCTCACACACAAAAGGTCAAAGTTGAAGTCAGAGAAACAATCAGTTCCAATACATGTAACTTAGAAGATGTGAAAACACACACAAACAACCAATCACGTCCAAGGTCACTGAGCAGGAGAAATGATTAATAAATTCGTGGAGAAATCTAAAAGCTCACTTCAATTCAAATTGAAGTATGCACTGAAGATGTCGCCTAGTAGGGCGATGAAAGCTTCGCAAATTAACTATCCAGCTCAGAGAACACAACCACCTCAAAAGCTAGGAATTTTAGAATTCACCATAACTTAAGATGATGTTAGTGAAAAAACCATGAAGTACTACGCATCTGTTTCACCCTAGTTCAGCACTCTTTTCAAATAATTTAACCAGACTGACTGATTGGTTTCAACATAAAACTTTGCACACATGTGCAGCAGTCCGAATCGCCACACTTCGCTCACTAAACAAAGCAAGATAAGAAGAAAGTAAAAGGAAATACAAAATAGAGACTGTAAACAGAAACATCAGGCAAAAAATAGTAATACTGAAGAACAACACAGTTCCAATATAGTTCCATTGGGTATTATAAGTCACAAGGAGTGGATGCATCTGTGCCAGCCATTGAGAACGATGAATTTGAGCTATATCACCAATTGTCTCCAGCCGTTGGTGTTTAACGTCCCGAAGACCCCAACCAGCCAGGAAGTCTACACCTCCCTATGTGGCTAGCTGGCATAAACTAACTGTTGTGAATTTCCTTGATTGATGAAGCCATGTTTTGGTTTGACCACCACTAGCCAACTCTTTTCTAACCTGATCCATCATACGCCAGCTAACACTGTCCATCGAGGAAGGCGATGACTATGCTAGTCATGCGTAAAACATGTTCTAACCATCTCAGTTGATGTAACTTAACAGGCTCGTCTATTGATTTCCCCTTTATACCTAGCACTCAAAGGTTAACCTCAGTATTGCTCACCCTATTATACTACTTCACACAGGAGATAGAACGCAGACACCTATGATCAACGACAGCTAGCCAGGTTTTCCATGTCTTCCACTCTCAGTAGCCAGGTCTCACAGCCAGCCATAAGGGAGGACGAAGCGGACTGCTGAGCAGTATACACGTCCTTTGGTCGATAGCTGGATATCACGTCTACACTAGAGAAGGCGTAAACTGGCATATTCAAAACTAGCCCTGTGTATCCGTGCTGAGATTTCGTCAACGACCAACCCATTGGGGCTGACGTAACTTCCAAAATAAGTGAATTGGTAAACACGCTCTATCACTTCATTCCCTATTTTTAAGCTAGGAGTCAGGGTAGTCCAGTCCTGTAACATCATCTTACATTTGGCAGGAGTGAACCGCATGTCAAACATTCGTAGATTGTAGCTCAAGGGGTTCATAAGACACTACATTTTGTCAGCGTCATCATTTAACGACTCAGACCAAACTAAATGACCCATGAATTCTAACTTCCACGAACCTGGAAGGCAGTGGACTCAAACCCTAATAAGTGAGTATTGCTTAAGAATCCCAAATTAAGACAAGTCAGCTATTCTCTAACTGATGTCAGATGGTGATCTAACCTGTAACCAGTCACTCATTTCTGCAAACCAACACTTGCAAAGCGATGAATAAATCTTGATAGTAGAAGGATGAATTCATCTTTTAACTTTTATTGTTTTGTTTAAATGTATCAATACAATTTAATGTACAAAATGATGATCAACCAAAATTCAAAAAATTATCATCCACTACAAATCAAATCTCCTTTCAGTTATACTGTTTTTAAAAAAATCATAAAAAGCAACAAATTTTATTGAAGAACTTGATACTTAAACATAAAAACTAGGGAAATCAACAGTTTTCATATAGAAAAAAGGAATAAAATTACCGGATTTTTGATCGGAATTTATGAATTTTTGAGAGAGAAATTTTAAAAAGTTAACTGAAAAAAAGATAATTCACACATAATGAATGAGTATTCATCATCAATACAATTTTACAGTTATCTCTGAAAATATGTTGTAAGTTCTTTCAATAGTAAGTCAATTAAATGCATTAAAATAGCATAATTGATTTGATTAGTTCCCTTCCATATAGTTGCCGTATCTGGTAAATATTCTAAAAAACGCAAAAAGAATACCGAAATTCTTATTACATATCACTTCATAAAGGAATCTTATAAAATGTAATATTATTATATTATTGTTTCCTTTAGTCTCTAGAGGAACATAGGGTTTCAGCCGCACGTCTCCATCGCGTTCGGTTCTCTGCCAACGTTCTCACCTGACTCCACGTATGCCCACATGCTTCCATCTCCTCTTCACATCACCTTCGCACTGACAACCAACTCGCCACTTCCTATTCAAGTTCCACTCGAGCGATGGCCTGGTGTATGTTTTCACTTGGTGGTTTGTTTTCTTAGAGTATGGCCAATCCACCTCCATTTCACCCTACATATTTCTTGCGAAATTGGTTCCTGGTTAGCTCGCTCCCAGAGATCTTTCATTATTAGTGATCTTTTCTGGTCAGCCATCTGACCTCAAGGAAAGTATTGGGCGAAGACAGCTGTTGATGAAGGTCTGGAGTTTGTTTGAAATGCTCTTCGTGACGCAACAAGTCTCTGATCCGTATAGTAAGTATCACTGACTTCACATTGGAATTGAAAATCCGGATCTTATTTTTCATACTTGTGAAAAATGAAGGCTTGTCTTGTTTTCTCGATCCTCGCATTGATATCCTCGTCAGTTCCGCCTGTAGTTGAAACGATGATGCTTCCCAGGCCGGTAGGTAAAGGAGATTGCTCCTTCCACATTTCTCCCACTTATGCTGGTTGTTGTCTGTTGTTGTTGCTGTTGCTGTTGACCATCACCTTCATCACCTACGTTTTCCCTAAATTCACCTGAAGGAAGTTCTATCTTTGATGCTTCTTCTATCGCCAACTTGTTGCTTTTCACTTGCATATCTTCCAGTTTGTGTGAAATCAGATATATATCATCCGTGAAGTCCGGATCCTCTAAGTTTTTATGTGGGTCCATTTTATGACTGTTTCCTCTCCGTGCGCTGTCTGTTTCATTATGCAGTCTTCTATATGTTTATACATATATAATGTCATTTGATTGATCACGGCTAACAAGGGAATCGTAGATGTATGTTTCGTCAGCTGTATATACCTACATCTCCGGTGAGTGACGGTAATCTCACTGACAATGGGACTCGGAATCCATCATTTTAAAATGGCTATTTGTTATCAGAGATAAAATAATTCGATCCAGCATAAATCAGTCAACGGGAAATGCTCAATTCGCAAACTATACCGAAATTTTGTATTCCAGTTCCTTGATGACACAGTTCGGGGAGGCGAAATTTAACTTGATTTTCCTTAGGAAGCCGAAAGTTTTCAGATCACAGTATATGTGATCTGCTTGATACCATAAGTGGTAAGAAACCAACCATGAGTGTGTAAGACCATATACTACTGAGTGACTGAGATGAGTAGTCTTATACCCCTCACATCAGCCAGTAATATTTGCCAGCTAGATCACTGAAGCGATCTAAGCACCGTAAAAATATACAGTGTAATGCTATGAGTTGTAATTCACAAGTGTGAATAAAACTCTTTTCATTCTAAGCTGACATCATTCAGAGAACCACTGAAAACCAGAACTGGAGTACTGTACGGCTGTTTTATCCTGGTTTTGGGAATCATCGGCAGTACGCCCCCAAAGGAGTTCGAACCGGGGACCTTCTGGTTACAAGGCAAGCTAGGTCGTAGACCATTAAGGCACTGAGACCGGATTTAATGGCCATTCCACTAATTCCAACTTCTACCAATGCAAGATATACTGCAACCATTTCGTAATGTCTTCTTCGATGAGTTACTGCCTCACCTTCAACCTGCTGTAGCCTACTGGTCACGGCTTCCTACCAGAAATGATGTCAGCTCACGATGAAACCCTCCAACCAATGAAAAACAATCCCTACAAAACCAATACTTATAAATATTTTCATTTCTATTGAACAGTAATTAAATGGTTAAAAAAAATCAGCAGAATAATAATTCTGTGCATAATAAAGACAACATAATTCGGAGAAAACTCAATTAGAAAAATTAAATGCTCTACTCATCTTACTTCATTTATTAAATAGGATTAGTTAAATTAATAATTATTTAATTAGTTACACGGCAATCAGATATTAACGTGAAAGGGAGACCTCTTTAGCCATTAAGTATTGCACAGCATAATCATAACTGATATTACAGTTAAATTACCTTCATTTGGATAAAATTGGTTTTAAATGGATCAGATTTCTTAGAAGGCAACCTAGAACAGATACAATGTAACTTTCATACAGAAAGCTTAAAAAGCCTTACTTTCATTCCTCTCTTTCCCAGTGGAAAATTGAGCTTCAAGTATCAAATTTTCAGTATAGGTAGTGGTATTTTCATGGTGTGGGATTACTAGTCTCACGTCCAAAGTTTCCTCTTTTCTGGGCTTAAAATGGGCTAATAAATTAAGCAAGGTTTAACAGTTTATCAGATGAAGTTAGTCTTGTCAAATACGCTGACGATATGAGCGTCTTGCTTCCCATGAATTCCCCAGTGGGACTGTGGCAAACTTAATGGCTTTCTGTCGGACATAAGTCGGTGGTCTTAGTCATATGGTCTTACGGCAAATCCCTCAAAATGCCAGACTTGACTTCCCCTATTGACATACACGTGATCTACAACGACTGATTGGTACACATGATGCTTGTCGCGTAGAGGGGACTGGAATAGAAACCAAAACTAACACAAAATACCTTGGTTCGGTTATAACTTCTGACCTTACCTGGTCATCTCATATTTTGTCGATCTCCCATAAAAATTTTATGTCTAAGCTACTACATTAGGAAGCTAAGACAATCAGGAATCACACAACCTCTACTTTTACAATTTGTTAACTTCGATTTCTTACCTATTGTTTTAGCTTTATCAGTGGTTTGCTTCATTTGCTCTGAGTACTGCAAGACACCACGTCAAAGTCTGCCAACCAAGTGTGATTACTTCTGCGAATAATGGCGAAAAAGAAGTATTTCTACCTCAGTATACATTAATATTTTATTTTATTCCATTACGTTCCGAATGGAATAGACAGCTGCAAGCTGGAGCTTTGAAGTTTCAGTAGTGATATTACTTTTAGTTTTTACGGGATGGGGTTACTAGCCTCATGCCCACCAACCTCCCTCTTTACAATCTTATTACTGGCTTAACGAGCTTAAAAAGTAGATTGACCAGGGACCACATGCGTAGTTAGCGAGTATTCCACCACTGGACCACCGACGCTTTACCTCAGTATAGTCAGATGTATATATTTTCTTTCCGTGGATTCCTAATGGAACATAGGGCTCCACGCTTTGAATTTTCAGTAGTAATAATGATAGTTTCCCGGGGTAAGATTGTTAACCTCGCACCCAGCCTTCCCCCTTTTCTAGGATTACTATCAGCCGATAAATTCGACGAAGTCTAGAAGTGCGTTTAACGGAAATCGAGCCTGGACCACATGCATGGCTAGCAAATACTCTACTATGGAAACCACCGATCATATTTCATTAAAGTTTAACTAAAGCGAGTAGTGTTATACTGCAGACATTTATGTCACACTGAAATGCCACCCACTAAAATAGTTTGTTCATTTAAGAATTTGAATAAACCGACTCTTTAATATTTCTGACTGGCTGAATAGAAAATAACATAGTTAGTTCACTTCCCTTCCGTAGAACTTTAATACAACATTCTGATTTTTATCACAATCTCTGTACATCTAATTTGTAGTCACTTTAAATTGTATTCAGATATCAATAGATAATCTTAATAATCAGCATATAATTTATGTTTTTCAAGTTTGACCACGGATTGATATCAGTTTAGAGAACCATTGAAAACCAGCATTGGAGTACTGGGCAGCTGTTTCTTCCTAATTCGAGATTCTTCGGCGGTACTTACCGAAGGGGATCGAATCCAGGACTTTCCGGTCACAAGACAAGCTCGTATACCATTTAGTCACTGGACGCGATTCAGTGGCTAGCCTATGAAGTCTAACTTCGCGCCACCACCCCCCCAATGTCATCAACGGGAAATCCATCCCTACTTCCAACTGCCTGGACCTGGCTGGTCACGACTTCTCACTAGAACACGGGGAAACTTCGTCCTGTAGCAAGTCACGAGCTTGCCTTGTAACCGGAGGGTCCTGGGCTCGAAACCCAGTGGGTGCATACTTGTGATGATTCCCAAACACTAGGATGAAACAGCTGTTCGGTACTCCCGACTGGTTTTCAATGGTTCTCCTAAATGAAATCAATCTGTGGTCAAACCCGGAATACAAATCTAATCCTTACAAATCAACTCTTGAAAATTTTATGATTTAATACTGAAGACTAAAATAGTGCATAAAGACAGTTCTAATTTTGATATAACATTCTATTGGGGTTAATAAATGCAAGAACAATGTAACTTTATAATCAAATGACACAATATTTTATCCTTCCTAAAGTTTTCTATGTTTTGTAAATTACAGATACTTGATCGAATGACAAGAGAGGATTGTAGAAGACTACCACGTTCTGGTATGGTGGGTACTCCTTATTTTACACATCGGACCTATTACTAATCTATCAATACAAAATCAACTGTCAGTTAATCTGTTATTCATAAGTGTCAAGAGTTGTAGAACAACAGAGGTCCATCCATCCGTGAAATATATAGAAAAATGACAGTGATTTATTTGATTTTGAGACAATCCATTTTTTGTTTTCTTTCAACACATTCATCCTATATATCTCCGACGGATATATATATATATATATATATATACAGATGATGGATGGTACACATAAAAAAATGACAACCTTAAATACACAAAGAGTATTGAACTATTGAACTGTTCAACTTCTTAAAAGTTTATTTAAAGTAACCTATTCATAAATTTATTCATTAATCTATCATAGATATGAAATGTAATAAAAAATGTCTATGTTCATTAAAAAAGGGTAATTTGTCATCTTTTTAGTTTTACCTCATGAAATATACTCATCCAAACGTCGGATAAAGAACAGACTGTTCAATGATGAAAACTTGTAAC